ACTGCTTGTCAGAAGTTATGTTTACAGTTATACAAATTTGTCTAACAAAGAAAAAAATGCTTGACGTTTCGGAAAGTTTATCACTTTCCGTCGTCGGAAGAAAAAAAAAATACAAAGAATAAAGAAAAAAAACTATTTAAAATATTTAAATTCAACTATTCGAGAACACTTTACTTTTTTAAAAAAGATACGTCTACAAGAAAAAAACAACGAACAAGAACGTCAACGGTTTCTTGTAGACGTATCTGTTTTAAAAAAGTAAAATGTTCTCGAATAGTTGAATTTAAATATTTTAAATAGTTTTTTTCTTTATTCTTTGTATTTTTTTGCTTCCGACGACGGAAAGAGATAAACTTTCCGAAACGTTAAGCATTTTTTTCTTTGTTAGGCAAATTTGTATAACTGTAAACATAACTTCTGACAAGCAGTGTCCGTTTTTATTATTATTATAATTGCAGAGTAGATTTTAACAACGCAAAAATTATACTGAAAGAATTTTCATCTTACATAATTTTACAAGTATTTTCGACGTAATTATCTGTTTCCGTAAAAATGGCAAAAATCCATCTCCAAAAATATACCCAATACTGACTAAAAAAGCCAGATAAAGGATTCCGCCTAGCACAAATGTTAATTTCCCATGTAATAATTTAGGATTATTCCGTAATATTTCCCGAGCTTTTAAATAAATGACCTATAGTGTGCTATTATATAAATATGGTTTTGTTTTAAAGTTTGAGCTAAATCTACTAATCTTACCATTGAAGTATATATGGTATCACATTCGGTAGGTGGATTGTTTATAAATGGCAAGTATAATATTTTGAAAACAAAAATTTCGTTGTCAACTAAAGTGTCGTTAAAGTCCATAAAAAAGCAAACATTTCACAAACAATAAAAGCGGGAAGAGATATTATAAAAAATGCTTATTTAAGTCTAAGTCAGTGAAAAATTCATCCAATGTGTAGTCTGCTTTCTTAATTAAAAATGTCGTTAATTTAGTTTTGATTTGTTTGGGATTATATAAACAAACATTGTGGTATTTAGGATTCTGAATTCTGACAACTCGTGTACTTGGCAAGTACGCCAATATTTGTATGCTTGGCAAGTATACTATCTTTGTAAACAACATATTTTGCAACAAGCTTAGCGTTCACGCTACGCGACGAGTGACAAATATTTGCACAAAAAAACCACTCACACCACATGGCAAGTATATCCAAATAACAAATGTTTGTACAAGTACACGGGTCGTCAGAGTCCACCGTAATAAAAATAAACTTTAATAAATAATAATAGAAATGTACGATTTTTGATGTTCATAAACGGTTATAAACTTTAATGAATACCTACGTATCTATTTTTTTATTAAATAATTCAATCATTTTTTGATCTACATTTTTTTGTGTCTCACCCATTAAAAGATTTACGGTAAATAAGAATAATTAATATTATTCTGGTTTATGATAAATTATTCAGCCTATTAGCAAAAGAAATACTGACTATGGAATTTTAGCGATCATATCAATTTTATTATCAATGAATTAATTAAAAAATCTTATTAAAATAGTTTACAACATAAGATACCAGTTTGTCTAGATGTTAATTTGTGATGTTTGCCCCTTTTTCTTATTTTATCACATCTCAAAAATATTATAATATCAAAACCGTTCTATTTAACTAGTTTTCTTTTTGTTAATATAATATATCAACAATTATTAATTAATATATTAAGCATACATCATCTTGCCTTTTTCCGCAGCATTTATGATTATGATAGTTTTTAGGTCTCGTTACAGTAGGATTTAAAAAAAAACTTATAATTTTTGTTTATAGTTTTTCTACAAATTAAAGAGTCGATAACTAAATAATTTATAACGTACAGAATTTACTAAATTTCAAACTGCAGGTACAATGCACATAAACATCGCGTCCGCCGTGCCGCCAAATAAAATCAAAGAGTCTCGGGCGGCGAGGCCTGAGTGGTCTCGCGCGCGGCCTATTCGTAAATTTAATGTAGGATAACTAGAAAAGTATTAGCATTAGAAGATTGTACCAAGTTTTAAAAACGTTTTCAATATTTTTACTTTATTTCATACGCAGATACTATGTAAAAATTCCTTCAAATAAAAAAGTTTCTCGCTTACCGAAAATCATGATACAATAAAGTTAATGTTTGAAGTTTAATCCATTTTCTAAAAAAACTTTTCTACTATGGAATTTTAATAACTCTCTCTATTTTAATAACTCTTACGAATTTTAAACTACTCTTACTATGGAATTTTAATTACCTCAGCTATCACCGCCTATGTGTTCTCAATTAGTAGTAGTTTATATATTTTAGTAGTAGTTAGTTAGTAGTAGGCCGCGCCGAGTAACAAAGTAAACGGTTGTCATGGTGATCGGAAGATACCTTTGATGGATGCGTGATATTTCATTTCAACAGATTGACGTGTTAAATAATAAAAATAAGTAAATTTGAAAATTTTGAGAAATATATCGTCGGCTTTATGACGAAAAGGCGTATCTCGATTTTTGCTACTTTTCAGGAGAGCAATTTAAAGAAAATCACTTACTTTATTTGGCCAATAAATGTAAAGTCTTTAATTTTTTTATAGTGTTTTTGTATTAACACTTAAATGGAGACCTTGAGGAAGCGTTCTGAAGATAAATTGAGCGTAAATTCTAATAAATAATTTATTTATAGTTGTTTAATATAGATAGGCCTTTTTGTTATAATAATAATAAATTTATTTCCGAAGGAATAGTATACATACGCCCACGTAAAACAAATTTAAAAATTATGGTAAAGTGTTCTTAATAAGGAAAAAAATACAATATTCACCATTATGGAATACATACAAGAAAACACAATACATACAAGAAAAAATCTGGAAGTCAACAAAAAATCAGAAACAAATATTTTTAAATACTTTTATTCGCGTTGGATTAGCTCAACTGAAAACAAAGAGAATGTTCATTCCAGAAGCAAAAACAATAATAAATTAAAATACTCTTATCTAGCTTATTTTAATAATATTGTTTTTTATACAATTTTTTTTAACTAATATATTTTTAGTAATTATTTAGTTAATTGAGTTGAATGAGGTTTATCACCAGTGCAAAGGGGTTGTAGATCTTGATATTTTCGTAATATTATAGGTTTTGGCCCTGATTTTTGTTTAGAATGTGATGTTGAAAAAATTAGCTATAGTTTTAAGGTTACTGTTCTATAACTTTCATCTAAACAAAAACAAAATTTCTTCATCCGTGCCTTTTTCATTCAAATAACTGTGACAGAGTAACAGTTTCTTTTTTTCTGTTTACTGATAACAAATTCGACTCAGAAAATTTTTTGGATACCCACTACAGCTTATGTGTAGAGTCTAACTCATTCTAACAATGGTTTTTGACAAAAAACAGACTCAAAATCACACTGTAAATGAGAGCTGCTGCCATGATAGAAGTTTTATTTTGTCCCAAGCAACCATCAGAAAATAATTAGGCAGAATAATGTGATTTTCTTTCGCATGCATTTTCATAACTTAAAACAAAAGGACCTATCTCAAATTCTATCTTTCTTGTAGTATAACAATTGGTATAACAATTGATATAACAAAGAGCCCTATCTTAACATACGTCTCTTCGTCATAACGAAGAATTGTAGTATTTGAGATGGGGCAAATTTTTAATCGAATATAAAATGAAAAAGGTATAATATTGACATGCGCCAATGCGCTATGTTAGAATATGACCCAATGGGCATGTCATGACGTTGATATCTCAAAATCGCCAAAAATTGAGATACGCCTTTTCGTCATAAAGCCGACGAATATGTTAGAATGTTATATTGAGTCTAACAAACATAAGCAAATAGCAGCTGATTTATCCTAAGCGCGAGCAACCAACCCCAGCCATTTTTAAAAAGTTAAAAAATAGTTTAATCCTAGCCGTCTAGATCACCTGATATCACTCCCTTGAAATTTTTTCTCTGGGACTTTCTGAAAAACGAAATTTATCGAAATGCAGATAGAACATTAGAAGAGTTACAAGATAGTTTTGTTGTGGCTTTGCGAAGTGTAACCAACATACACATTCGAAATGCTGTTAGCGGCGCCGGCGGGGTGCGGAGACGGTGCCAACCCTGTCTAGATAATAATAGGTAGCAGTTTGAACATTTAATGTAGTCTTTGTGCTTTTATTTTTTTTTATACCAGCTGAGAAGCCCTATTGAAGTAACCTGTTGAGTTTGTATTCAAATATGTTGTTTTGTTTCTGTCACACTTATTTTTTATTTGCTTCGTATTGTTCGATTTTATTTAATTGCTAATACATGGGGTAACCTTAAAGTAGATATTCGCTTGTTCTTTGGCATGACCTACCAAAAGGAAAGTCGATATCTTTAAATAAATTGGAATTTTAAAGTTAATAGTGAAATTAAATATATGGTGTTATATATTTTAGATATGCCAAGCTGAATCAGGAAATTTAAAAATATACAGGGGGTTCTATTTAAAAAAACATAGGTATAGTTAATATCTCTTTACTTATTTTTTATTATTTAAAAGACACACACTTCAATCTGGTGAAATGAAATGTCACGCATCCATCAAAGGTATGTTCCGATCACCATGTCTGACTACGCCACTGCATTCTACACAGAAAAGTGCTTTTAGAATGTATAATTCATTTTTTCGTGGTTGCTGAAATAAACAAACTATCGAACATCTTAAAAAAGTACAAAATTTGAGAATCCCCCTGTAGCTTTGAAACCAATCAAGATAGCCACGATCCGTTTGCGCCATTGTGATTTTTTTCAAAAAAAAGAACCCGAGACTGCTTTATCAAAATTCTATTTCTTAGGGTTTCCTAGATACCCTATAGAAACAACCAAAATGGTCCACCCTGTACATACGAGTACTTTTTGTAATTACCGTTACAACATGCATTACATTGTTATTTGCGTATCGTGATTATATTTACCCGTTATTATGTTTCAGGTGCGTTACCAATAGTTCCTCCAACCATCCGTTCCTCTACTATGGTGCTGCCGGCAGTCAAGTATTAGCCTTTATTTTAGCAATAGTATTTCTCGTTATCTATTACAAATGTTGCCATCCTTCTCTGACAAATAGAACGAAAACTTCAGGGGAACGTTGCGAATACATAGAGAATGATAAGCCTTGTTACAGTAGGACTTCTTACAATTTCCGAACTAGTTCCTGATCTATAGTTTTCGTCTAATTTCTGAATTTGACTTACGACAGAAAGGTTCACGTGTCTGTGATATATTGACAGTAATTTAGATAAAATAATTCTTAAATACAGTAGTATGGAATGGAGTGAAAATGACGTAGAAATTACATTGCAGTTCTAGCTTCACTATACTATGTATATACAGGGTGGCGCCTCTCATACGACCCGGAGGCTCCAAGGAGAACGGTAGTTTATATCAAAATTAAATTTTTGGAGCGTATGTAGGTTAATTGAAAGTATTTTATAAAAATATATTGAGTTATACAGGGTGACCTCAAAAAAAGTTACACATCAAAGTTGTGTTTTTTGTAATGGAACACCCTATATATTATTGATTTTCTGATTCTAGGAAAAAATAAAGGTGTTTTATTAAAGAAAGATGTGCCTAAAATGTAATGATTTTCACATATTTCACATTATGTGAAAATGAAGAGGTTGAATATAGGTTAGAAGAGGTTGATGATAAATTTTAAATTTCAATAACAGCTGCCTAAATTTTAATTTACCCTGTATAGCCTGATATTTAATTACAATAACCATTGTATATTAAACCAAATTAAAATTTAACCCGGAAAGTTATACAGGGTGAGACACAATTAATATGAAACATTGGTCACATTTAAAAGCAAGTTACTCCTTTATTTTAAATGGAACATCCAGTATATTCTTTAAATAAGGTCGCCTACCCCTCAGACAAAGATTTTCCTAGACATTTTCATTTTTATGATTTTGTGTCAGTAGATCTTTATTATTTGAAAAAATCTAGAGGGGCCTTTTGTTAATTTAACAAAAATTAAAGGATGTAGAGTAAAATACTCCACTAAATTAAACCTAGATATAAACTTATAATAATGTGACAAAAATTAGCTAGATGAAATCAAATGCTCAAAATACTTCCTTTCCAACAGTATTGTATATTAACATTTTAAATGGCATGTGGAGTTCTATTTCGAAAAGCAACTACAATCATTTCTCTCATGTTATCGACAATGGTCGAGTTTTGTAAACACTGTCTTCAACATATCCCCATAAAAAGGCCAGACTAGATAAAATCAAGAGCATTTAGGTATTCTATTAATTAATTAGTTGGTTGTTTACCCAATGTTCAATATTAATTTTGTCTCACCCTGTATAACCTTTTGGGTCAAGTTTTAATTTGATTTAAAGTAAAATAGTTATTTTAACTACATATTAGGCTTGCCGGGTAAATTCCAATTCAGGTAGCTTTTATTGCAATTTCAAAATTATTCTTTATTTTTATAAAATGTTAAATATGTCAAAAACTTTATTAATTTATTCATATATACTTCTAGTAAAACTCACCTTTATTTTTCTCACCTTTATTCTCCAAGAATCCGAAAACCAATTAATATATAGAGTGTTTCATTACAAAAAACACAACTTTTTTGGGGGGGAACACCCTGTATAACTCTCTATATTTTTAAAAATTGCTCTAAATTAACCTACATATGCTCACAAAATTAAATTCAATACAAACCGTCGCATCGTTCTCTAGGAGCCTCCACGTCGTATTAGAGGCGCCACCTTGTATAAGCGATACCAAATAAACTTTTAGTTACGTCATCAAGGGCGTGATTATTAAATTTATTGTTGGCAACCATGGACATATTCGACGCCGGGCTGACTAACTGGAATTTAAATTTCTCGCTGGCGATTTAGGTAGTAGCTCTGCTGTAAAAAATGTCAAGTTTTCACATTTATTTATTTATTTCCTGGCATTTTGATTCGTTTTGACACTTTAGTTTTGTATTACGAGTTTTTGGTTTAAGTGAATTGTTTTGTAAAAATGTCTTTACCTATGTGTCAAGGTTTCAAAATAAACTAATTTTAGATGTTTACAGAAAACCCACAAACACAGATAGATACTTAAATTTCACATCTAATCACAGTATAAGTGTAAAAAAAGGTGTTATAAAAAGTTTATATGATAGGGCAAAAATAATATGTACAGACGACATTTCACTAAACAGAGATATAAACCACATAAAAATACATTAATAAAAGACTATCCACCATATTTTATTGACAAAGTATTAAATGAAATACAAACCTCAAATCATAGACACAATAATAACAATACACAATATATACAACTTACAATTCCATACATACGAGGCGTTTCGGAAAAAATAAGAAGGATAGGAAAACAATATAACATACGAACATCTTTCAAAACACATGGGTATTGCCTATTTTCAATTAAAACGCGGAACTCCAAAATTTCAAATAAACTATATTAAAAAGATTAAAATCATACAATAAATGATATTATAAAGAGAGAACTCTAACCACTTTGGCTTTTAAAATCTTAATGATTTCCTATTCACCTTGCACAACCAGTCATCAATGTTTTGCGTTAGATCAGAAGGATCAAATTCAGGTATCAATCTATCATCTTTGAAAACATTCCAGTTTACATACCTATTTTCGCTCTGTATCGGAGTAACATTATTAGCTTGCATACTCACAAGTTGACTTCTCAAAGCACTTATCTCTACTCTGGCTTCCTCTAACAAAGAATGCATCTCAGTTTCATTAGTTGATGGGGATCCTGTCTCCCTTCTCGTTACCAAATCCGGCTCCGTTTACCCGGAGCTCACAGAAACACGTGCGATCTGCGAGGGTAGTTCGGCAACATTGTTCGCACTTTTACTCGCCCCACTATTGTCCGTAGTGTTCGGTCTCGCACTTCGTAATTGCCGTTTACGCATTGTATTTGTTGCCACCGATACCTATCAATCGATTATAGTCGAGTAATTTTTTTTACTATGTCCACTAATGCCACGACTAATTTTTGGCAATCCCACCGCTGCTTTGTAGTATTGGGTATTGCCTATTTTCAATTAAAACGCGGAACTCCAAAATTTCAAATAAACTATATTAAAAAGATTAAAATCATACAATAAATGATATTATAAAGAGAGAACTCTAACCACTTTGGCTTTTAAAATCTTAATGATTTCCTTTCATTCTAAAATAAGTCACCAGCTTAGTTAATATAAACATAACACAGCATATTATATATCGATACTCATATTCTCAGAAGAAAACTTATAAATCGCTTATTTTATCTTGAAACTTCGCCGCCCGTTGACTCCGCATCAGTCCTATCAGTGTCTGCTTATCGAAAATGTATTTCGTCGCTTACAGATTCGGCCATGCTACTCTGTTGATTGTCCCCAATCGGCCCTAATGAAACAACTTTAAATTAGCGAAATAACTTTAAAAAAATACAACATATCATGATTCAAATATTTGAACTGTTGCATGTGTGCTTCGAATGTGTAGTATGCTTCGAGTGTTTCACAACAAATACACTGTACATACTTTCGACACTGTACACAACATGACCCTGTGCTTCGAATGTGTAGTATGCTTCGAGTGTTTCGCAACAAGTACACTGTACATACTGTCGACACTGTACATAACATAATTTGACCCTGTGCTTCGAATGTGTAGTATGCTTCGAGTGTTTCACAACAAGTACACTGTACATACTTTCGACACTGTACACAACATAATTTGACCCTGTGTTTCGAATGTGTAACATGCCTTTTGTATTTACCCTGCATGGTTTCAACATTGTGCACCGTAATCTTGAAGAGTTTTGAGCGTAATATGTCTCGGGTGCGTAAGTATCATTATACTTTTTCTCACCGTACATATCCTCAGCTCAATTACTCTACACTTACTTAGATCTCCCATAGTAATCCAAAACTTAATGTTATCAACTGCTACTACTGTTCGTCTGCGTACTTTTCCCCTTAAATCTTCCACCTCATATCTGTCGTTGGGTAGAACAGCAACAATCCTATAAGGACCTCGAAATTTAGGGAACAATTTCTTGCCATTTCCTGTAGCTGGGATACTCGTTAGTCGAACTAATACCAGCATTCCCACTGAATACTCTGGAGCCGTAATTCTCTTCATGTCAAATTTTCTTTTCTGAGATCTTTGTTCTTCATCTATCTTCAGTTTTACTTTCTGACGAATATCAGAGAGTTTTAGACGGCCAACATCATCCTGAATTTCACCCAAAATTTTGCTTTCAGGCAATGAACGATGTTTAGTTCCAAATAACAATTCTGACGGGGTTATTCCTATACTTCGATTTATGGTGGAATTTAAGCCTCTTTGAACGGTTTCCACATGGACATCCCATGATACATCTTCCATATCACCATTTAAGGTCGCAAGAGAATTTACTATAGTACGGTTGTAGCGCTCGCATTGGCCATTAGCACGTGGGGTGGCAACTGCGTTTTGAATATGTCTGATTCCATATTCTCGGCAATAGTTTTGGAACGTAAGGGAGGTGAAAGCGGTTCCACGATCAGTTATAACTCGTACTGGTACCCCAAATATATCAATAATTTGAGTTAAGACTTTGATTACATAGCGTGTTTTCGTATTCCTTACAACCTCGAGGAAACAAAATTTTGTAAATCCGTCCACAACTACTAGTAGCTGATTATGAATGTGTGCCATGCAAACCGCATTGTTTTTAACCCGTCATACCAAATTTGCGCTGTCCCTTTTAATTTGCCTAAAGCAATGTAAATTTTGGCCACATCATCCCAGTGATAAATCGCAGTACACTCATTCACCTTGCACAACCAGTCATCAATGTTTTGCGTTAGATCAGAAGGATCAAATTCAGGTATCAATCTATCATCTTTGAAAACATTCCAGTTTACATACCTATTTTCGCTCTGTATCGGAGTAACATTATTAGCTTGCATACTCACAAGTTGACTTCTCAAAGCACTTATCTCTACTCTGGCTTCCTCTAACAAAGAAGGCATCTCAGTTTCATTAGTTGAAGGGGTTCCTGTCTCCCTTCTCGTTATCGAATCCGGCTCCGTTTGCCCGGAGCTCACAGAAACACGTGCGATCTGGGAGGGTGGTTCGTCAACATTGTTCGCACGGTTCGCACTTTTACTCGCCCCACTATTGTCCGTAGTGTTCGGTCTCGCACTTCGTAATTGCCGTTTACGCATTGTATTTGTTGCCACCGATACCAATCAATCGATTATAGTCGAGTAATTTTTTTTTACTATGTCCACTAATGCCATGACTAATTTTTGGCAATCCCACCGCTGCTTTGTGGTATTGGGTATTGCCTATTTTCAATTAAAACGCGGAACTCCAAAATTTCA